TATTTAACCCAGCACTGTGACACTAAAGAAATAGTGAATCCACACCCCCCACCCGCCACAAACCGCGGGGAGGGGGGTGGGGATTTCGGGGAGTTGAAGACCACGCGTCTTAAAGTGGCCAAGGTTGAGAAACTGTCTTACTGGATTCTGAATGTGGCAGAAAAGGTGATAATAGACCTCTGGAATTCCTTGATATTGGTGCAATGCCTTGCACTGTCAGGAGGGGGCAGAAGCAACAAATGAGAATTTAGCAAGAATTGGAAAGTGCAGTCAACCTTTTTTCATCACCATTAACTCCAAGGGGGAGAATGCTTTTGCCTGGGTTTACTGCCCCCACTTACATTCCTCTGGATAATTTTAATTACGTTGCTTTCTGCTGGGCCAATGTGATCCTTAGTGCTGGCCCTTAAAGAAAAGAAAGAAAGGGAGTTGTGGAAAACTGCTGTCCTGCCACAAGGAGACATCTTTCGTCCACCCGCACGTATTTGTATAAAACAAAATAGAGATGTCATGGATCCTGCAGAGTTATTAGAATCAACACTAGATCCAGCTTGGTATAATGCACTGTAGCCCTCAACCCAGGTGGTTAGCATTTATGCTCCGTTCATTGCATTCTCATTGAGATACGACGGATGACTTGTTTACTGACACTCAGATTGCCTCATCGGGACCCGGAAGCTAAGCAGGGTCAGACTCGATTGGGACCTGGATGGGAGAACCCCACGGAATCCCAGAGCTTAGAGTGGGAAATTAAAAGATATCCCAGATCAAGGGGGTGGCATTTCATGACATTGCCAAGACACCTCCATGCACATGTCCCTGGAAGTAGAGTTGAACCCGAGAGCACGTTTACTTTTACCATGATCAGTTGGTTTATTAGATTAGCTGCTTTTGTAGGCCAGGAGATTATCTGTTTTATGAACTCTGAGCATGGTTTTATATAGTTCTTTCTGGAGGCGTTCAGGTTGTGATGAGAAAGGCAGCATGATTCATGCTCCTGCCCTCATTAGAGGCTCCTTGTTCCTGGAAAGCTCGTGTGCCAGGGAGAGAAATTCCAGCGTCACCCTGAAGATCTGCTGATTCACTATATTTGAGGAAGGATCCCCTCCGCCAGGGAGAGTGGCACATGTGACTGTGGTCACCCCACAGTGATGCAGTTGACCTGCAACGCGTGCAGTTTCAATGTGATCCGTATTGACCTGAAGGGAATCGCCTGGTTAAAGACTCTGTCCAGTTGCAATACGTGTAAAAATAAATGGGTAGAGCTTCAATGGCACCATTGCAGCCTCCATCTTGACTTTTTTGACCCCCACCTGCAAGCAGATGATACGTATGTGGTCTTAGAATGCATCCAGGTGAGCCTAAGTCAGTGTTTTTCAACCTTGGGAACTTTAAGATGGGTGGACTTCAACTCCCAGAATTCCCCAGCCAGCAAGGCT